CATACATACATACATACATACATACATACCTATTACTATACTGAGTGAGTGACAGCAGACTACCAGCTTTAGTCAAGGAAACAGACCATTTAGTTGTAAAATATATCTAGTTGCACACGTATTCAGAAGACGTTAAAATACAAGGTATGAATCAGCCAGGTGTTTTTAACTTTTTCATGAGCTGTTCATTCATTTACATTTTGGCATGCTCATATCTCAACAACTATTGGAGGGACACCACTCACCTACCGCATACAATTTACTGATGTTGTACTTCTTGACACCTACACCCTCAAATTTGCTGGCCAGACCCTTTTTTTTCGACATTGATATCTCCACAGTGGCTGAATGGATTTTTACCATATAAAATCTCCCTTTGTCGGTTTGCAATTAGTACTGCGAAGATCGCCCCTCACCAACCTCTTATGACGAGGACCCTGGGGAACACGGGGATGACCCCGGACTGGGACTTTGCGCTTTTATCATGTAACACGAGACGCTTTCTTTTGTTTTGACCTCTTATGTCTGCCTCTGCAGATCACTGTAACACTAAACAGAATAATCGATGGAGACGGAAGATCAGAGCAAGTGAGTACCTCCGATTGTTATTTCATCCGTCTGGGCTTTGCTCCTCCCGTTTTTCATTTAACTTCACTGTTTTTTCACTGTGTCTTTGTTGAGGTTTGATTGAGAACTGAAGTCCTGGTCTGTCTCTGTTATTCTTTCTGTAATTTGGTGTTTTGCAATAATAGTTGGGATTTCTTGTCATTTTTGATCAAACCTTTTTTATATTCATTCATGAGGCGAGAGTATATGAACACTGTTGTAATGCAGCACGTACAACGCTAGAGGCCAGTGTTGTCCTTACAGCAGTCATTGCCAAAAGTTCTGTTTTTCTTCTTTTTCATCAGGCTTGTTCATCATTTGCTCTATAGCCTCATCCACCCCCCCCAAAACAAATGTTGCAGCTCTAGATCACTTGTTCTGTCTAGTACCACAACATCACCACTGTGATGTACGGTCAATGCTTCACAGTGGTTGTAGTTTATTGGATACACTGCGACTTTATACAAATCTGAAGTTTTAAAGGCAGGGTTGGTAATCTTCTTCAGAAACATTTTTTGATACTTTTGTTGCAATTCTGATTACATCCTGACAGAAACCAATGAATCAAATGCTCTGCCAAAAAACAAGAAGAAAAGAAATCAGGTGGCTGTAGCAGGAAAAGTGATGAGATCGTTCTAACTGCGCGTCCACCTGCATGTAATCGGCCCGTGCACTCATCGCAGTCTCCCACATGCTGCTAGCTCGAAAGCTGCAGGCGTTAACTGCAGCCATGTTGTTCGTTTACGTTCGTAATGAGAATTTTGGGGGAGTGGCTCAGGAAGGAGGCCTGAAGGGACTGTCGGTGTTGACTTGGCGACTTTCTTGCTAAATTTTGCCACTTTTGGAGCTAGCGCTGCTAGCAAAGAGTTACCACCACTCGGCTGGGTATTAAGGTTGGATCATTTTATAAACTCTTGCTGGTTTCTCAAGATTACTGACCCTGCCTTTAATACTTTTCTGTTTCACATTTATTTTACCCTTTAATTGTGTTCTATGAAGAATCTATTACTACATGTGTAACCTACGCTGGTGTTACCGTATAATAGATCCTTTTTTTCAACGCAGAAATTCGACGTCATCGTTCATTGTTATTATTTACATCTGGCTAAATGACACAAAAATCTCCAAAGCAAAAATGTGCAGTATTTATTATTCGGCTGACACGTTTGTTGAAAGCGACGTGCAATGAGCATGTTCAACCCCGTTGGGACGACGGCAAGATAAATGTCCGACCATCTCAAAACAACGAAGCGAGTTCTTTTCTTTCCCCTCGCACAGCACTCCCTCTGATCTTCATCAAGCACTTCCAGAGAAGCTGGCCTCAGGACAAGGAGGGACCGGAGACCGTCCCCGAAGCGGACTCCGACTTCGAGGAGGTCACTTCAATAGAGAAACAAACTGTATGTATTTTTTTTTAAATAACCCTGTGTGGGCAAATTTGCTTTTTTTTGTGCGCTGACAAGATTCTCTGTTCTCTCAGTACTCCGAGGTCAGTTCAGTGACATCTGCAGATACCCAGAATCCCTTAGAGGGAAGTGAGAAGAGTGAAGAGCACTTGGCGAAGACGGCCTGCAACTCGTCCAGCCCAAAGAAGCGCTTGACGCTATCTCCCTCTGAGAAAGAGAAGCTCCTGAACTGGGACATGCTGGTCACACCGGAGGAAGCGCCGATTAACACCCAAAACGAACAAAAATTTCAGGTGGAGTTATGGAGTCATTATTAATGAAGCAATATTGGTGGTTCTAGAGAAGAATAAGCCTGCTCATGAATTTATTTCCTCTGCTTTTTTTATTGTTATCTCTCGCTACTCCTTCCGGTATTATGCAGCGGTCCACAGACGGGCGATGTGAGCACAGATAAGAGGAGCTAATTCCACATTTTTTTCCCTCTGTCCTCTTGATGTTTTTTATCAGGTACAAGCAGAGGCAGCAGTAGATAAGTTTCAGACGGACTCGGGCCAGAGCGGGGAACCGTCCCAGAGCCAAACCTCCGCCTCGTCCCCCTCAGCCCTCCAGCTCATAGCGGACGCCTTCAGGAGGACTTTTAGTGTGACCAATCTCTCCAGCAGGTCCAACGCTGCAGTCCCAATGTCAGTACATGACACTTTGCTCACAGTCTATTTTCAAGCGGGGCATTAAGCTTTTCAAACTCCCCGGCGACTTCGTCAAGGTTTTAAAGCTAGAGTGAAGCTACCGGTATCATATGAAACTAGGTAAGCCTAAGGCAGTCCTTCCCAGAGGAGGGGTCGGGCAAGTATTTAATGTGCGAGTACGTTTTAGATAACATGCATAAAACGAAATTGTGATTTATCAGACGTATATCTCTTGGAAATGGCTGGTTCACCTATCCAAGATGTAAGTTGATGCGGAAGTGGTATTAATCATTTTTGAAAGTTCATTTACGCACAAATTTGCTCTTCTCATAATTCAAAAGGCCTATTGTGTAATGTTTTATCATTTTAAAAAAGTGAGCTCCCAGAAAACACTGGCCCAAGTTGTCCGTTGGTACCAACGACGTCACGCTAGCTTGTCGGTGAAATAGGGCTTTGGAGCGTGGCAACATTTTTGGTTCGGGAGAAAACTGGAATAGCCACGTTCACAGGGGTCCCTTGACCTCCCACCTCAAGATATATCAATGAAAATGGGTTCTATGGGTCCACACAAGTCTCCTCTTTACAGACATCCCCAGATAATTATGATAATTCCATGCAGTTTTTGGGGGCATTTTTGTTACTTTTGCCTATTCTGAAAAATGGTAAATTTGAATATTTCTGCATACTGGGGTCCCTGAATAGTCTTGGAATTGAATTATTGGGTTGGAATGGAAAGCTGAGACTCTTGTGGATCTAATTAGCCCAATTGTATGTGTGATGATGTTAGTCCCCATAGTAGCCAGTGACTTCACTGTTGAAAATGACTTGTTGTGACCTCTAGGATGATCACAGCCTGATGAATCTTTACAACTTAGAGACCTAGAGCATTTAGAGAACGTATTGGCCTTCCTAGGATTATTGCTGATAAGGGGGTGTCCGAGCAGTTCCCAGAACAGAAGTGCTCGCCATACAATCGCCGAAAAAATGCTATTCTTGCATAAATGTTAAAATATCTTTAACAGCATGGATTTTTTTTCAAAGTCTTGGAGTCTATGTGGTGTTTTGGATGGGGTTTTGATCATTTGTCATTTGAGTGGTAAAAAATGGTTAAATCTAACACCAAATATGTGAAAAAAATAGTTTCAACCCCAAAATAATGTCTGGAAAAACTTATGAGAAATAATAGAGCATTGGAATGGCCAACATATACTTCCATCAATATTCCTGAATGCAGTTCAAATTGAATGTACATTATGATTTTGTGGTTACCAGAAGGGCCAAACGTGACAGCCCCCATAAACAGAGGCCCATGTCAGAGGGAGCGTTGAACTTCAGCGCCGCGGGTCCAGAGCCACCCGGAGATGAGAGGGCCGGCAAGTACAAAGCCCGCTGGGCGTCTATAGGGGCCAATGCGTGGGGGGCCGAGCAGGACCTGCCCTCTCTGTTGCAGCAGGTGTCCCTGAAGGGCCGCGGAGACTCCGGAGGGAGGTTCTCTGACGACATGGCCTCGCTTCGCGGCAGGAGGGTCAACCTGTTCTCGTCCCTGAGACTGAGGAAGAGGAAGGAGTCGGAGGGTGAGGGGCGGGACCAGGAGGCGCAAAAGGATATCAGGGCGATACTCGCCAACCTCCGAAACAAAGGTGAGCACAGCGATTCCCCAGAAGTCGTTGCACGTGATCTTTTAAACCCGAATGAGGAGATTTGTTTTGGCCCCTTGGGGGCGGTGCAACAAGCACAACATCGACATATAAACACATAATAAATGTGTTGTTATCGAACGTGGTAGCGGGCAACGTAAGCATTTATTTGGAGACAAGTATCAGGTGACCTGGGGGAATATAAATGTTAAGGACAACTTTTACCCTATTTTCCCATTTCTTTGTGTCAGAGTGGCAAAAGCGGACAACAATTCCATATACAGTACTGAGAGAGAAGCCGATGTGGAAGTGTCTTAAAACTTGCATTCTCTCTACTGACCATGAGGGGGCGACGCCTCCAGTTACAAAAAGAAGTCTGATTGTATAGAAGTCTATGAGAAAATGACCATACTTCTCACTTGATGATGTTTCCAATTGTCATGGATAGATTCATACTAAGAAAAATGTTTTTCTTTGTACAAACTCAAAATGTTCCTAGACTATTCTCACTTTTTTGTATATTTTTTTTCTGTTTATATCTAGCCTCCAGACTACAGAATCTTGAAGAGCCCACCTCTAGTGATGATGAAAACCCGGCATCCAATCAGAAGGTTCGTAAAAGCCACGTCTTTGTACTGAATGACAGCACAGCGCTGGGGGATCTCACTGTATTTGCATGTGTGGGTACATTTTCTGAAATGTTCTATGTACTTCCTGTCCCAGCTGTGTCCAGAAAGACAGAGGAGGAGGCAGGAGAAGACGGTGGCCCAGCAGGCTAAAAGAGAACAGCTGAAGAGGCTCCACAGAGCTCAGGTACTGCTCTCTCTCTCTGGCCTTTTGAGATTCACTCGTTTGTAACGGAATGGTTCATAACTAGAGAGCCGTCCGCAGTCTCCGAACACTGCAAGCTTTTATGCACATACACACTACATTCAGGAACATTTCCGCCAAGTGCCTTTTCCCCGCATGCCATTGAAATGCCTTAACAGATGGGGAAAGGGGAAAGTCCAGCAGGTGGCGGTAAAGAAACACTTTTGTGGATGCCAGAAAACTCAAGAAGGAAGGAAAAGGGGGCGAGGGGCGTCAGTAGAGCGCGCCCTTCAACAATATGTGGTTCAGACTCCCTGAACACGAATATTTCCCAAAATGTCAAACTATCCCTTGAACTCTGTCAGAGTTCTCGCCATGCAGATAGTTTGATGTTTTGTCCAGGTTTTGAGGTATTTTTCTGAGTTTTTTTTCAATGTTTATTCAGGAAGTAACAGACTTCTTCGCGTGTTGCACTTTAATGTAATAGATATGTAAAGCTTGAACATCAACAATGTAGGCTATTTTGGAAACTGTTAAGTCTTTACTTGTGTGAACAGATAAACTTTTACAAGAAACGAGAAGTATACTGTTGCCATGGATACAGTAAGTTAGACTGTGGGCAGCAAATTGAGCCTTGTTTTTTTATTTTCCAAAACACACACACACACACACAAAAACCCACTTATGTTGATGTTTAATCTTGTATCCATGGCATTAAATCAGGTAGTGCCATCACTTAAGTGTATTTGCTAAGTTTATCAAGTGCGAGACACAAATTAGAGATCCTGGTCACACAAATCTGACACATTAAAAATAGGAAGAATTCAATTGAGCCTGTGGCCCATTTTTGCAGTTCCTATTTTTTACTTGAACATCGAACGTACAGAAAAATAAGCTGTTTTTATTTATTTCATTTTTTTGTGTTTGATTCATCAATTAATAAGGAAATAAATGATTTATTTTATTTAATTTTCCAATTTTGAATAGAACAAATGATAGAAAATTAATTTTAAAAAACAACACATCAACATCTCTTTCCAGCACTGATGTCGTGGTCACCCTAAATCATGAAATCATTATAACTAGTGTGTTCTCTGGACAAATAAACAATTTCTTTGATCATGTGTGTCGATTTATTTCTTTTTTGCTTTGCTAAGGCCATCCAGAGACAACTGGAGGAGGTCGCAGAGAAACAAAGGGATCTGGAGGAGAGAGGAGTGGCCATAGAGAAGATCATAAGAGGAGAAACTGGTACTGAACAAGGCGTCACAACGCTGCTTTTATGATTTTATGGCGGCTCAATGCAATTCCACTGTGAAAGCCTTCTTCTTCTTCTTCTTCTTCTTCTTCTTCTTCTTCTTCTTCTTCACCACATACTTTTCAGACCATTCAGAACAAAAAAGCATTGCCTTGTAAGCCCCACTTACATGGCCGCACTCTCAATAGACAGTGGGACTTCATTGTTGCTCCAGCTGTTTACAGTGCTGGGCTTTGTTTGTGTGCTAGTGAATGGCGAGGTCCTGTCAGTTTGACACAAAGCAGATGTGTGTTTGATTCCAGTATGATTTCTATTTTTTTCTCATAATGGCTTTATGTAATTGATGTGAAAATTCCTGCCGCTGTCCTTCCTTTCTAACCCTGCTACATCCCCCCCCC